TCCCTGCCGAAGAAGAAGGGCGATACTAATTTGGTTTCTTATTGCCCTTCTCGCACTGAATCCCTAATGTTCGAGATATTCAAATGTCGCCCGTGAACTGAACAGGAAATTAGCAGGGGTCTCTATTGGCTCAGACACCTCAATACCCGGCCAACTCCATCTCGAGATGCACGCGCCCATACCGTATCAATCGAACGTGATCCGACTCGAACTGATCTCCTTAATTTAATTCAAACTTAGGTTTTACCTACTAAAATATTGTCAAACGCTTTTTCCGCTTTCCGATTACTTCATTCCTCCCCACCCGCCCTTGTGCCACTTTGCCATCTGAATACTGAATATATTGCCTTTTTCATATCTTCTTCCGCTCTTATCAGGTATAAAACAAAGAAACTAGAAGCCTGGAGCCTACTTCATAATGCTATTAGTTAAAATATACAAGTACACGAATAAAGTACAAACACCTTAGAATAACAATATTTTCTGTTCTATAATGGAGAAGAAGGCTTCCCTAATACTAAAGTGATAATCTTCGTAGAGGTCATTAGACAGGTGAAAAAAGCAGACTAATTGCTGGGTTCATCGCGCTTTCGGCACCGTATAGTGCCATCATCAGGGCCTATTTTATTACAAATTAAAATGAATACAGTAACATACAAATAACAATTAATATAATAATTATTCAAAAATCGTGAGATGCGATCTGGTGTGATGTAGGTTTCAGAAAAACATTTTCTTTATCGTGCCAACGTTTCGATCTTTATTGAGATCATCTTCAGGGNCCCGCTCGTGCCATTGACTTTTTTATCTCAACTAAAAACCTTAATTAATTGTAATATATTAATTGGTCAAGCGGACCACGAAATTAGTGAATTTAATTATAAATTGTTTTCATTGTCAAATATGAATATTGTATGTTAATAATTACTTATAATTTTATATAGACGTCTATTTTCACCGTTAAAAATGTAGTATGCTGGCCATGTGCTCCAAAACCTTAAACCCAAAACGCTTTTACAATAGTTTTTCATGTTAATCGTTTTTCTTCATTCTTGGGAAAGTATGTATAGCATTTTATTACGTTAATTGTTAATTATATGTTACTGTGTATTTATTTTAATTTGTAATAAAATAAGCCCTGATGATGGCACTATAAGGTGCCGAGAGCTCGGTGAACCCAGCAATTTGTCTTCTTTTTTTTCCTGTCTAATGACCTCTACGAAGTTTGGAACCCTACATAGATTATCTTCAGGTCGATCAACAAACATCATAAAAGTGATATTTTACAAGCAAAAAGCTATTTAAGTACAAGACAGCTGCACGTAAGAGAAAGAAACAGGGAATAAAACACATTCACTATGTTGTAAGCAACAAGGTAGCTTTACTTACTGAATGGAACATATTGCTGTTATTGCTTATTGCTATTATTAATATTGCTGTTAACTTCCTATTAATAAGAAAAAGGGCTCATTTTTATCATTGATCCATCATTCAACAAACTTGAGGAAATGGGTCATATTGAAAAAATAATTTATAATTCCGGTGATGCTCAACAATTGTGTGCAATAAATGAGTATTGACTGCATTCATCGTACCTTTTACACTCCTACAAACGGTAGCACTGTTTATACCAAGTATGTCACCTAGTGTATGAAACTTGCTAACACTTTCTAGCCTATTAAATGCTAAAATGCAGTGTTTGTTTTGCCGAAATTTTTACCCCTGTTCTCCTAGAATGTTCTATTGGTGGTCTCAGGAGCGACTCGAGTCTGTACGATGACTCTGGGAACCATTAACCATTGAGTTGGCAAGGAAATAATTTCCTGTTTACATCCGTAGATAACATTAACTTGTTTAGTTATTCTTTTGACAATGCTAGAATTTTTTTTCTTTTGAGATTTGGTAAAGTAAGTTCATGGACAGCCTTAACTTGGAGGGCAAATATGAGCATTTTCCACACATTTTACTTTTTCATTATCATAAAGGCAAAAAAAGCGGCTGAAGCTCACAAAGAGATACGCGAAGTTTATGATTGCGTCATTGGTTTGAAAATTTTCGCTCTGGAGATTTTTCACAGAAGATGCCAAACATTCTGGTCGACCTTCTGAGGTCGATGATGACGAAATGAAATCCATAATTAAATCGAATCGTCATAACTGTGCGAGAGATTGCAAAACAGTTAAATGTATCACGTACAACAGTTGAAAATCATAAAAGACGTCTTGGACTTGTTAAGAAACTCGATTTTTGTGTTTCGCACGAAATGAAAGAAATCCGAATCAATATTTGTGATAGGCATTTTAAACATAATGCAATCGTCCCTTTTTTGAAACGAATTATCAGTGACGATGAAAAATAGATCATCTACAACAACTTTAATCAAAAAAGATCATGGTCTAAGCGTGATGAACCAGCACAAACCATATCGAAAGTTGAATTGCATCAGAAATAGATCACGCTTCCAAAATTTAAACAATGTTTGTAAATCCCAGGCCCTGAAGATGATCTCAATAAAGATCGAAACGTTGGCACAACAAAGAAAATGTTTTTTCTGAAACCCACGTCACACCAGACCGCATCTCACGATTTCCGATTAATCATTTTTTTTAAACAAACCACCGAAACGTTAGAAAGAAGCTTTACAGAAAAACCAACAATGAAGAGATTGACTTTTCAAAGATTTATTTACAAAATCCAATTGTAAACACAAGTGGGAGATTTTATCTGTGTTTTATTTACATATTTTTCTTTAAAACCCATCAAATTTTTTTTTTTTGACTGAGGCTTCCGACATCTAGGTCATTTCAGCCCCCAACTATGTCTATATTCTACTTACCCTTTCAAACACTACACATTCATACACATAAATACATCCATACAGTACACTCATTCCGTTTGGTCGGTGGAGTACTTGATATTCCTCCACCGACCCTATACTCAAACTAATCTAGATTGGGGTCGATAGGGTACTTTTGTAAATATTCCGCCATCGACCCCGAACACACACTCTTACGCCCTCATCGTTCGACGGATGATGATGACGTTATATTTCACCCTCACCCCACGCCATTCACGCTAATAAATACATTCACTCAGACAAAACATATAGACACAACACATAAGACATACTATATACAATAAAAAACACCCAATTTCCCCTAAAAAGCGGAACAGGGGACTCTGAAACTCGCTACCGTGTTCGAGAACTCTTCTTAAGTCCGGCGGCATGCCTACACGCTCTCTGTATGGAGCCAAGGGACCTCCCTAGCCTCTATTATGTGGGACACATCGAGCAACCTTTCTCGGGGCACCTGGTCAAATATTGTTGAAAAATAATCAACGGACGATTTCCTAAAAGGTAATTAAATGTATTAAGGGTGGCCAACTTTTTTCCCTCTCAGTGCACAATAGTACTATACTAACACTATTAGTTTGTCTTTTCAGAGGATCTTCGGAAGAGGTAAAAAAAAAGAATTTTGACCTCTTCCGAAGATCCTCTGAAAAGACTTCTTGTATCCAGCAGGTCGATAATCTAGTTCATCGTTACTATTAGTTTGTATTTTATTATGAAACTGGGCCCCGGACGAGCTAATAGCCCTCAACCTAACTTTGCAATTGTTTGTAATGCTAAAATACCGATCAAAACAAGTCCAAGCTATCCAATATGACTGTAACATTTTTATTGTATAAAACGGAATTTTTTTTAAGTAGAGTAGTTCAGAAAAAATCCACAAAAATGAATGTCAAATAAGCCAGACAATTAAAAAATCCACTTAAAAGAAAAACATTATTTAAATTTGTCAAGGGGTCTGTGGGGTGAACTTGTTTGTTCGCTTCGTCTTTTCATTTCTATCTGTACCGACGATAGCGAAAAACGCGTCTGACAAATTAACAACAAATATAGAAAGACGATCAACCTTCAGATTTTTGTGTAGAGATTAGTGACCGTTAATCGATAGTTATTCAGATATCGTGAGATGCGGTCGGGTGTGATGTAGGTTTCAGAAAAACATTTTCTTTATCGTGCCAACGTTTCGATCTTTATTGAGATCATCTTCAGGGCTCAAAGTGTTTGTCTTCTGTGTAATTGTGCGATCCTTGAGTGTCGTGTGTGGGCACTCTCAACACGACACTCAAAGATGGCACAATTACACAGAAGACAAACACTTTGAGCCCTGAAGATGATCTCAATAAAAGATCGAAACGTTGGCACGATAAAGAAAATGTTTTTCTGAAATCTACATCACACCCGCCGCATCTCACGATATCTGAATAACTTCAGATTTTATTATGGTTATTTCAAAATCAAGTGGGTATGGATAAGATTTCCCCCCTGCAAATAAGGCTAGGGAAAAAAATCTAATCAAGCGCATTTAGTAATTTTAATAGGCTGTAAACGATTGTAACGAGGAACACCTGAAGTCACGTGACAATTAAACGTAAATAAATGATCTTGGGGATAGGAGAAACTCGATTTCCAAAGGATAAATTTTTCTTCGGCGGCTTATCGTAGATAATAAATGACTTCTGGAACAAAGGGGCTTGCTATTGACTTAAGTGTATCAATGCGGTCTGCTAAGTGGGAGCCGGGAGAATTGAATTGTCGAGGCCCTGAGTTACATGAATATTACACCGGGACCCACTCCGCTAAAGAAAACAATGCTCAAATGGAAGAATGTAAATAGCGCAGAAATTAATTTGCCGGTCTGGGTTGTTTGCTTTTGGAAATGAAGTGGTGAGGAGCAGCCCCCGCCTCCTTCGGTGTCACCCCTTCTACTTCTACCCCCTGCAATTCAGCTATTGCCCCCAAAAAGTATTTAACGACCCTGCAATATGTTAAATATGACCTGTTTCATCACAACGAAAAAACGCCTACACTTCCACGGTAGGACATCTCAGTCATTAATAAACAAAATACAAAACAGTGTTTATTTAAAACGTATAAACTTGATAAATCGGTTTGACAGCATACAGGCAGATAAGATCGACATCGAACTTACCCAGACGGCAACCTGGTCTGACTCCGGCCAGAGAACGTGCCATGTTCATGCAGGACTGATGTTTGTCGCTGTAGAACGGGTCATCCTCGGGTATCTCGATCGGCATACAGTTCGGGTGCCGGCCGATACCGCCTCCACAACAGTCGATGTCCTTTCTCGTATCGGGATCTTGAAAACAAAACAAACACAAATGTGAACCCACGTTGTTTTCAGTTTTTAATTGACATATTAGAAAAAAATTTAATTTTTGTTCTTGTACATTCAGCCAGGGTTATGAACCCGCACCCTTCAGGCAATGGGTGCAAACAGTAGGATACAAGGAACACCCGGGTGGGCGATCGGTCTCACCTTAAAAATAATTATTTGGAGATCGTGAGATGAGGTCTGGTGGTGACGTATGTTTTAGAAAAACATTTTCTTTATCGATCCTTTTTAAAAAAGATAGTTCCTACTCACAGTAAGTTGTTTTGCAACGATCCGGATTTCGAGCCTTTTAACTCATCATCAGGTTGAAGGACTTCCACAACCTGATGATCAGCTAAAAGGCTCGAAATCCGGATCGTTGCAAAACAACTAACTGTGAGTAGGAACTATCTTTTTTAAAAAGGATTGAACACCACACTCACTCCATCATTTATCATTTATATTTTCTTTATCGTGCCAACGTTTCCGTCTTTATCTCAACACGACATACAATAATGACACATCTACACAGAAAAGAAACACTTTGAGCCCTGAAGATGATTTCAATGAAGATCGAATCGTTGCACGATAAAGAAAATATTTTTCTAAAACCAACGTCACACCAGACCGCATCTTACGATCTCCTAATAATCATTAACTAACGATTTCTAAACACCACACACTTAAAAAAATACTGAACCATGGGAGGGGGCGACCCCAAGTAGCTCTCCCAATTAAGGTTGGACTAGTGGTGGCAGTGGCTTGAAAACAACTTGTACCTTAATTATTTTTCTTCCTGTGATCTGAGGGATAATATTGTTCGATAGTTACTTATCATCTTGGTCTACCTATATTCGCCTATTTTTGTTGGTTCAGTCGTTTTTCAGATTTCGCCATTTTCAGTGACAAAAATACTTGATAATACGACAAACTGCTAATACCTATACAACCCCCCACCCTTGCACAACCTCATCACTAAAACTCGCTTCGCAAATATCACCCAAACACTGAAAGATGGCGAATTCCCGAAACACTTCTGAACCAAAAAAAAAAATCAGCGAGGATAGGATGGATGAGAGGCTACTATCAAACAGCTTGTACCTCAGGAGGGTACCGGTCGATCGAAGCCGGGGATATAGAGCCTTCTCTATCTCTCCGGGGATGGTTGAAAGTACCTTTGGAAGCCACAGCAATGTCTTTTTAAAGACTCACTCTTTTTGGAGCGCTTTTGAACCTGGCTAGCATTGCACTTCCTCTCTTGTCAGAGGATCTGAAAATTTCATGCATATAAAATCTTCCTGATACCATCCGAATTTTTCTTATCGGGAACCTCCGGGACGTTAAAGATCCTCGGTCTGCTGAATCAAATCAGCTGAGTAAAGTCGGGAACATCTGCACATTCAGCAATAATTGTAAACAGAAGTATCGATTTCCTTTAGAAGTAATAATTGCAAAAGAAAACGGCTTTCTATCGACGTTCAATTTTGTTTCATTTAACCCATTTGGCTAAAAAGCAATAAAAAGGATATAATAACTGTTTGGAACATGTACGTAGTATGACTGTGGCCGACCACAATATAGCTTTGTTTCCACTAATCCTCCTCCCAACCCTATATAGCTTGTATTAAATCTCTCCTTATTAATAGAGTTGTGTTTAATGCTCTCGGAACGATAATTCACGGTTTAGCGTGTTAATTAAACTTAACGAAATAGTCGAAGTTTTGCTTGCCGGCTGGATTATTGCGACGGCTATAAACGTATCGGTCAAAAATGAAAGCCACTGCTGGACATGATTGACTTAATCAGGCATAACAATAGTCTGTGTGATATGTAAATATTATTTACATAACTTGATATAACCATAGAGAATAAACCAGATTCCTTGTCTTTAATCAACGACCGGTAATATAAATCCACCCTTTCGCGATGATTCGTCTAGAAATAAATATTCTTAACAAAACCGATTTTTACCCATTCTTGATAGTGAGATTTAAATTGTAGTCTGTGGGGTAATATATCTGTAGCTTTGTCGGTTTGATCGTAGTTCACAGACCAAATAACTGAAGATAGACAGAACAGAATGATCGTTAACGACCGAACTACAAGATCAATAGTTTGCCCTCTCAATTTGGAACTCTGAAAGTACCGCAAATCTTCCTCTGCTAATTGCCAAGTCATACCCAGTTGCTTTAAGATGTTAGGATTACCGAAAAAAATTCACCTCAAGTAAAAATTCTTTTAATAAAGCGCATTTATTGGTATCAATGAAGGTTTTACCTTTATTTTTTGTTTTACCTTTAGCTCTCAAAATCAACATACCAAAAGATCCTGAACCTAACTTTCAAGGCTTATTTCGACACCTGCATGGTAGTGCATGTTGATCCTCGTCGTTCTACTTCTCGTATTTTGCATGTACTTTCAGAAGAGGTTTTACAATCTGAGTGTTTTTTTAATCATATCAAGAAATCGTAAGAACTATCTGTGTCCCACCGCTGTTAAACCTTACGGGCCCTCACAAGGGCCGGTATTGTACCCAGGAAGGTCCCAACTGTTCTGCCCTACCGGGAAGCCCGCAACCGTGAGCTCTACGGCACAAGACCCCTTTCAAGCAGACGAGAAGGGCACTCCTAAGTCGTGGGTCTGTAGAGCCGGCGAGGAGGCTTTTGGCCCTAAAAAGGACCGTTGAGTGAGAGGTAGAGCTTCCACCTGTCCGACTGTACCGGACACCCCGGAGATCGTGAGCTCGTACGACCCGTGTGTCCTTTCTAGTCTTCCAAGTGGAAACCCTAGTTCTTGAGTAACTCAAGCGTGGCTCTGAGAAGAGCGGGTGAAAATATGGCGAGATGTATCTAAAGAGGTTGAGTTGAATTCTTCGCCGGTCCGATGGACAAGTCTTCTTTCATTGAACAGAAATTAGTGACTGCGTTTTTAGTTTTTCAAAAACTGGGTTTCTTAATCCTTAGTAGCCAAAGGTATTTCAGAGGTGTGATTTTGGAGGAGCGGGAAGTGGCTACCTTGGATTCTCGTTTTTCTTTATTCAAACGTTTTATACAGTCTGTTTATGTCTATTTACAATCTACTGATAATTAAAATTAATTTACATTGTTATTAAACCGCTATTACATTCTTATTTATAAGTTATGATAACAACAGAAAACAAACAATCCTTAATTGAACTGGTGATTAATTGGTGATGACTTAATTGAACTGTGGCGCAATCCATTGGCGTATCTTCTGGTAGTTCTAATTGTTTGTCATTCCGTTGGTGTCGCTTTCGTTGAGAAGGTGGTAATTCACCACAATCTGTCTTAGATAATGAAGTGAATTCCGTGACAAGTCCTCTATGAATACTAAAGTCAAGACCAAACCCCATCATCTATTAAAGTCAAGTAGTTGTTTTCTGAACTACATATAAACATCTATATAAATTATCGGTTGAATTATGTTTTCCAATGAAAGGTAAAACATGCAGAATCTGGCCAAAATCTACCAATAAATATTATCTAGTTTAGTCTGCAGTTCGACCAGACTTTTACGAATTTATCAAGAAATTAATAATACTAATTAAATACCCAGATCGGCAATTACAAGTGTAGATCTGAATGTATTAATATGATCTCAAATCAAAAAGTGTTACTTTTTGCTAGAAAATTTTTTTCAGGATTTCTGCCTTTCCAGTCATATTCTTTCAAACCATCCCCAACCATCCCCTACACTTTGGTTTTATAGTATTTTTCCGGTTTTTTCTTTTTGATTTCTTTCTGGTGGGTGCCAGTCGACCATATGTTTTGGGCGATTTGGTATCCGTTTTAAGAGATCAAGCTTCACTCAGCTTCAAAATCGTTTTGTTTAAATATTATCATGTTAGAGGTTAAAGGTTAAAAAGGAGTCGGCTTCTTTACACGTACGCACCGCTACCAGTGTACGTCTTTTGTGCAGACTTCATTATTATCTAAAGCTCATCATTATGATGACGGCTTTTTACCAATTCCCAAAACTTTGTTAAGGACTCTCGTGTGTATCCTTCAACCCTGGGCTTTTCCTCTCCCAGGAGTCACTCAACCTACCAACAGAGGAAATATTTACTTCTTCGTCTTTCTGGCTTATTTCTGCTACTCCGCAGTGTCTAATCTGCAATCTATCATTCTATTCCTCCTAGACTTGGTAGTTTTGCCGTTAGTCCCTGCAATGTTCCTTTGATGTACCTTTGAGTAAGCTTCTGTCGTGCATTACTACTGTACCAACTTGAACTTATTTTTAATCCAGTGCCTGAAGGGTCTACGTCTTGGGAATTTTGATATGCCTGAAAAGCCCCAATAGGTGTCCTCATCATACTTTCCATTTCCAATTGCCCTCTTTGTTCCGGAGTGCCCTCATGCCTGACAAAGATAATTTGTTGTTATCCCTATTAACTTACATGGGATGAATATTTCCCAAGGTTTATATGAATTTAGACCTTGGTTTATTTCGATAGCCAGGTCCGACACATACTCGGTCTTGGAGCCATCTATATACCATATATATTCGGCATAAACCACCATTTTCTCCAGTTCTGCTCTATCGGATATTTTAATTTGAAATTTTGATCAAATCTGAATTCTTGGGTCATGGCGTCAACAAGCATCCCCCAGAACCTTTCCTGCGTGCAGGTCCTCCCGATGCATTAATGTTTCGTGTTATGCGAATAAGCTATTGAAGAATTTCCCTGCCTGTGACTTGTGGTTCCCTCTCCCTGGGTGAAGATGTGTAGTAATGGTAGATTCAGGGGACTTCCAGGGCAGATACTATCATGTACTTCACACTGTCCCCGGTCAAGAACCAGCCTTCAATAAAGGAAACACTTTTCTTTTAATTATTGCATTGTATATCACTATTTTCTGATGCTTAGTCATAGTGTAGTGGCTTTCTAGTCTTTCTTAAACATCATCTTCTTTATATGAGTAATTTTTGTTTAGGGTTTACTATCCATGTAAAATAACACTAAAAAACTTCAGTTCGTATTCAACAATGATCCACTATCGCAAACAGATCGACCTATTATTCCAAAGGTTGTTTTTTGTGGACATAACACAAGAAACATGGCCGTTTATCTCCAATTTTATTATTTGTTTTCTCAAATTTAGCAAAGAGTTATTATTAGCAAAATAATTATCATATTTAGCCAAAGCTGTTGCAATTGGAATTGGAGGAAATGGACAGTCAAGAGGACAAACTGTTATATATTCATGAGTGGAGTCGTAATGGTAATTGTACCACGGTAAGGGATTTTGGCAATGGGAAACGAGCTTTGTTCCCGGCGGATAACATTTATTCAGAATTGATCCGAGGGCATCAATAAGTCCTCCGTGTAAATCTCTTAAAGAGAAAAGCTGAGTCAGACGACTCGGAATTGAATATTAGACACATCTCCCCGCGTGTGAGATAATGCTGCGGGCAGATTTATCGAGGGGTTGTGGACGGATCCAATTATTGGCCCTGTCCCAGGATGCAAACCCCGTTTCCGTTTCGACTAAATGTTTCAACCCGACGGTTGTTGTCCACCTTCCCTCCTTCTTCCTTTCTAAATGACCCTTCCTCTCCCTATAAACACCTCGGAAGGGGATCCCGTGCTGAGTCGGGATATATTCCTTCCCTCGGACCCTAATGTTACTCTTTTTTTATCCCCTTCCCGTCATTCCCCTGCCCCCATTATCTAAACACTTTCAGCTATTGACACAGGGAAAATTTACCCCGTGTCTCTTTCTTTCAAACAGACAATTAAGCAATCCAAACAGCCCGGACAAAGCTTCATTGTATTTTTAGCGCGCTGATCTCGCCCTCCTCGAGAGATAATGATATTGTTGTAATTTTCTAGATGAAAAATTCAAACGTTGGTAAAAAAATGGAGAAATTGCTTTATTATTTCCAAATTAGCCTAAAAGGTAAAGTGTGTTACGCTAATTCTAACTGTCCTCCAACGTCACGTTTCTTGTTAAGAGTTGGTCTGGAACAGATCAGACCAGCGAGGATATAGGCAAATCAAAGTGCCTGCCTATAACTGACCATCACCCCGCAGACTATTTACCGATATAAAACAATGTTTTTGGATATTGGCAATGGTTAATCATTTCGAATATTAAAAAAAAAGTTTGTCACTAGCGGGATTCGAACCCACGACTTTCGGCTCATTACGCCGCTGCTCTAACTATGTACTATGTTGAGATGGCGAGTTGGTGTCCGAGTGGATCGAAGTCATGATAGCTCAAGTGGTTAGAGCAGCGGCGTATTGAGGCGAAGGTCGTGGGTTCGAATCCCGCTCGTGACACTAATTTTTTCATTTCAACCAACACCTTACATAAAAAGATTAATTAGTTGAAAGAAGTTATTTGGTCAATCGGACCACGAAATATAATGGATTTCGAATAATGTTCTTAAAACTGTAAACTAGTTAGATTTTATTATTTAATAGTAATCAATAATAACTAAGATTGTCAAAAAATATTTTTCGCTGGAAATGACATGCTACTTTCAACAATAGCAAATGAAATTTACTTTCACGAGAGCAATACTGATGATTCGGGGCCAACTGCTTGCTTTAAATTTTAGAAGTAGTAGGACGGAAGGACATCATGATTGTAAAATGTGTAATGTTGGCGCGGTGGAAGATGTATGTCCCTATGTAGAGGTCTGCCCTGTTCTGAACGAATTTGGAATAAAAAGCCTTCAGGAACAACGTGTTATCACGAGAAAAACATCTTCAATACAAGAATGGCAAAAGCCGGGAATTTTTATACTCTCCATGTAATTGCTTGAAGCTACAGAAAGTGATTGATATAAAATTATAATATCTAAAGGAGGGTATCATTGTAATAATGTAATAATAATAAATAATGTAATAATGTAAATAAGTGCAATAGCGCGTATATAAAAATAATTTAAATAAATATAAATCATGTAAATTATATAAATACATTTAGCGGCCACTCAAACAAGACCTTCAATAAAAAGAATATTTATTTGAAATAAGTAAATTATATAGGTGTTTGTATATTAATGGAATACACCAGAGCAGCTTGGATTTACATAAATGATCTGGTTCAAGAATTTAATTTTAAAGAAAAGCAAAGAAGGGATATTTTTTCATAATTCTTCATTGTATCACCGGTGTAGACCATAATTCATTTATTTGTTTTTAGAGAGATTTTTCTTTTGATTTTTTCGGTCTTCTTCCATCGTACGGAATTTCCACGCCGTATCGTTTATTATGTATTTCTTTTCATTAAATGTAATGTAAAGTTGAATACCCATTATTATTATTATTCGAAGTTCGTGAGATGCGGTCTGGTATGACGTAGGTTTCAGAAAAAACATTTTCTTTATCGTGCCAACGTTTCGATCTTTATTGAGATCATCTTCAGGGCCTGGGATTTACAAACATGTTTAAATTTTACAAATACATGTAGGATGTGAAAAAAATGAATTTATAGAGTGCAATTTTTTTATATATTCAATCGAAGTATTTGTATTCACTCAAAGTGTTTGTTTTCTGCATAATTATGTCATTTTTGTGTGTCGTGTGGGAGGGCCAGTGAGATTTTGCTGTTTTACGGATTGTATATATAATTTTTTTTTTTGCATTGTATAAATTCATTTTCTTCCACATCCTACATGTATTTGTTAAATTTAAACAATGTTTGTAAATCCCAGGCCCTGAAGATGATCTCAATAAAGATCGAAACGTTGGCACGATAAAGAAAATGTTTTTCTAAAACCTACGTCATACCAGACCGCATCCCACGATCTCCGAATAACCACCATTGACTACCGGTCACGAAACACCACACATTTATTATTATTATTACTTCCCTAATGCAGCTGCTTCATATTTATTTTGCCATTTTGTGATTTTTACCTTTTTGAAAAAGTATAAATGTTGACTCCGGTGATTCGAGTTTACAGAAAGTCACCTTTAATGGTTGCTTTCTTGGCTAAAACGTTTTCATTATTTTTAATGCCCACTTGTCCTCTTAATCCAGTAACCTATTTTTTCCTTGTACCGATTGGGTAAAAATGTTACCAACAACTTTGACTAAACTATGCCTGCTGTTAAGTTAAAAATTTCAAAGTAGAGTTATAGTGCCTAGGCTGTCTGTATAAATACCAATTTTTGTTTAAGTTAGATTAGCAGCATACTCTAACGCTTTTAGGATAGCAACAATAACCGCCTAAAATGAAATAAATTCCTTAGATTATGTTCAAATTCTCGCAGGTACACAAAAATAGAACTCCTCCATAAAAGGGCTGTGGAAACAATTACTAAGTTCATAGATAATCGTGCGTCCAAAATTTTTAATTCTTATAATAGTAGTAAACGAGCCTTAGTTTGAAGCATAGTATAGGAAATATATAAGACAATAAAAAATTAATAACTATCATCGATGATCATGACCTTACTAGCCATTGTCTCTTAAGTTACATCAGAGAAAAAAATTTAAATTCTTATATGTTCCCTTGGTCAAAGATTAGGGTCTTTTACACGAACAAGTACTATGAGGAAAAAGAGAAGGAACACCGGAACATGAACCTTCGGATGGTAGGACGTAGTGACCCCGGACTGCCAACACTCGATGATTGAGAAATCTAATTAAATCAACTCTAATAGCGACGTCCTTCACCAATCATCATTTTTTTATCTTTCGTGGAAATATTTAATCGTACCGTTTGCATAAAATAACCATGAGTCAGTTCGGTCAAAACAGTTCAGGCCATGCCCAACTTGACAGTAGGTTTTGGTATTTCCTTTGAAGTAATTTTTTTAAGTACCTTTTGTTTCTGCGGTGAGAGTGAGGTCGTGATCGATAAGCTGGCCCCACGCCGGGAACATGAAAGAAATCCGATGCTCATGTCGTGTCGATGTGTCGGCGTGGACAGTCGAAGAGACGAGTCGCGGCGAAGGAAGTGGGAATCCATCCCGCCCGGCTCTCGGATCAGAAACATCTGCAATCACAAATTACACAAATTATGAATTTTATAAATCCACTATGATAGAATTATTAGTTTTTGTGTAGAAAGATTACTTAATTAAGAATTTGGTTTAAAAAAAAATATTCAGGGATGTCGGTTATTTTTATGTACGTAGACAAAGTCATTTCTGTTGTTTGGTCATTTCAGACCATCCTGTACCTTCATGTTTTGCTATGCCGTTTCACCTTACACGTATAAAAAGATCTACAGTAGATACGGAAAAAACATACAAACCAACAACTGAAGGAAATCCGTCAGACCAGCAATAATTAGACCAGAATGATCGGAAAGGACCAAAATATAAATTCATTGCTTTCCAGAGAACCTCATAATGTGATTTCTATTGAAGAATATTTAACACACATTACATGCATAAGTATTTCGTTCCTTATATCGACTTGTTTGAAACTTATTGCGAAAAGAATTCTCAAAGTAAAAATGTAAAAGAATAAAAGAGTTCTTTCAAGGATGTGAGTTTGTGTATTTAATTGTTTTTATTTTATTTTATTTATACTAGAAAGCCATGCTGTTCACTTCAGAGACTGTGAATTTGTAATTGGTCAATTTCTGTGACACCAAAAGGAGAAAGAAGAGCAAAAGGACAAGACGTCGAGTGAGAAGAAAATGAAACAACAGAGCAAATTTTTAAATAGTAAATGGGGTAAATGTTAACTAAAAGTCGGGATAACTGTAAACATTTGAAGGGTCAAGGGGTGAATGAAAGGGGTTAACATACGACTTCCTTCTATTGCCGTGATGCTGCTTGTATCGTCACTTATTCGATATCAGATAGAGGACAATTCTTAAAAAAACTCGGGTCAATTGTAAACACCCGATTATGGCATGATTTTTCCTGAACTTTTCATAATAATCAACTTTACTGTCAGTAAGGACAATGCAAGTTAGTTTTGTAGGAAGAACAATGCCTTTTTAAGAAAACATATACTGCTTTTTAGATGAGATAGATTTTTTCTCAAATGCCCCGCAATTCTTTTAACTGTTCGATAATAAAAGGTTCCAAATTGTTTCATTTCAGTCAAAACTAAAACTGTGCATTGCGGACCTTGTTTTCTTCGTTCTTGTTGTCTTCGTAGTGCAGTACCTGAACAATAAAAATATGTACTGGGTGACAGGCTGCACGTGGCACCGGCACACATTTTGCCAGTAAATTTCACATATCAAATATATATGTATATACATATATACTATGGTTTTTGTCATAAATCTACTCGTAGCTGTTGAACTCTTCATTTTTGGGTAAATTAAAAAAAAACAAAAAACATTGAAATTGAGCAGTAAATTTCCTTTCAGAGGGCACGCTTGTAAAAGTTTCAATTTAATTTTTATTTAAAAAAACACTAAATCTTTCAAAAACTGCCAATTTTGAAATTCGAAAAAAAAATTTGCAACTTCATTGGAAAATTGACGGTAGAGCTAGTCAAAATTCATAACAACTTCTTTTAATAAGTTTTCTAGCTGTTTACCCTTTTCGTTACTTACATCGAACCAGATTTATTGAGCAAAATTTACTTCCCAAGATTAACTTAATAAAAAAGCACAAAAAGAACTAAAAATGAAACAAAACACATCAAAAAACATAGCGAACAACCAAAGCGGAAAATTTGAACAAAATATGTACACTAAACACAGACAATAAAGGAGTTTTAAAACCCCACTTTAACCTATAGAAAAATATAATAAAATAAAAATCAAACAATGCATACCTTTAAAGCTATCGAGCAGCTACATTTAAAATTCCTAAAAAACTAAATTTGCAACCTCGTTAGAAAAAATCACCGAAAGCATTAGCAAATTTCATAGCAACTTCTACGTTTAATAAGCTTTCTAGCTGTATGCCTTTTCCTTAAGTTACATGTAACCAAAACGCAGAAATGTTAAGCTAAATGGGAAAAAATGGTAAGGGTGTGGAAAAGAGAGAATGCAGTTAATCTAATAATTCAACTTTTTGTCCTGGACGAAATTTATTTTGAAACTTTAACTTAATAAAAAAATCACTTAAAGAAAGAAAAATGAAACAATCTAAAAAAAAAAAATAGACAATAAACATAGCAAACAACCAAAGCAGAAATTGGATAAAATATCTACACTAAACACGGACAACACGGACAAAAAAAAAGAACAACTATATAGATAATAAACAGAGTGGGGGCGTCGGTGGCCGCAACGGTTTAGTAGTTGATACGGCGCCTATCACGGTAAGGTAAAGGTCCCGGGTTCGAATGCAGGGCCGCTGGATTCGAACCCGACATACTTACAAAAAACTTAAAAAAAAAAAAAAGTGAACAACCAAATTAAGCTGCATTTTTATTATTTTTTGTTTACGTAGAACCAAACAAGTTTTCGTGCTTTTTAGAAGTTTCCTTAAGGGAAAAGCAATAAATTTAATGGCGACATTTCCTCCGCGGGTTTAAAATTTACATCGTATATTTCTAATGTAATTATAAATGAGAAATCGCTTGTAATCCGAGACATGGTGAACGTGTTCGAAATTTTTCGATCCTTTTTCAAGTATAAATCAAGGGTTTAATCAGAGGGTGCTATTTCTTATTGAACCCCTCTTCCTTTTCTTGGTTTATCCCCCCTGATATTTATACCTCGCGGCTGTCGATTAGCCGCAAGTTGGCTGACACGCACCGCGAGCAAATTACCCGACCGTGGTTGGTAATTGTCTTAAAACAAACATAATTGTCGGGTCCCCCTATCCATAATAGATGTAGAAAGTTATCCAATAAGGAGACGGGGAGCACACATTGCGGGACTTGTCTCCTTTGTTCCCCTTTTACCACAATTATACCCGGTCGGCTTGAATAATTAACAGGTCTTCCTCCAATCCGAGCCGTTCCTAACAGCGCCTCCGCAATATTATTTTAATAAGCTCTCCAATTTTTCATTTAATTAAATCAACTATTCTATTCTCAGATTTACTTTCTAGCCATTTTCTTACAATTAGGCATCAAGATATTTGTCCTATTTGATGGTTTGTGCAATCGAATTGACCTGAAATCGTCGTATTATCTCTAATTGCAAAATATGAACTTGATTAAAAATTAGGCCGACTTTCGACTAATTTTTTGTTCTACTTGGACTCCATGCTTATTTAAATTTTTGTTCCGTTACTTCTCGTTCATAATTAGGTAGAAGTAGAAATTTACAGCAACCAACGAAAAGTTGTTCGCGTTATTGATTACTGATTTATATAAGCTCATATCTGCTCACGCATGTACAGAGTTGGGTCTATCACTTCTCGAAGTCCAGCGGCAACTTCGGCTTTTGTCATTTACAATTAAATACCGGAAGGGTAGACAATCACTCACTCAGGGTGTTGGCAGTCCGGATTTCGACCTCAGTCTTATCCTTCAGCCGTCAAGGTTGTGCTCCAGAGGCTATCAACGGCTAGGTCATTTCAGCCTCCATCGCAATGAGTTCTTAAATCCAAATCCATTCACACACTTTTAAATACAACCTCTCCAAATTACCTGAATTCACTCAGTGTAGCAGAGTACTTGATATTCCTCCATCACACTATACACTATATAGAATTTGAGGGTTTGTCAACAGCTTGGTCAATTCAGCACCCAATGCGATCAGTTTCTAGATCCACTCACACTCTTCACACTTTCTTAAATACATCCTTTCATATTTACTCGCCATTCACTCAGATAGAGTGGTGGAGTACATGATATTTCTTCTTTAATAGGCCGCCTATGTACTCAATATTCGCCATCGATCCTTCGCTACAAATTCACGCCGATAAATAGCTTCACTCTCAACGCGCTACGGACACAAGATTGTTTGCTCTGCTCAAACGTGCTCAAACAGAATTCTCAAATCGGGTGGCATTCCTAAGCGCTCTCTATATGGAGCCAAGTAATTACACCCTTCAATTAGGTGGGATATATCGAGCAACCTTATTCTGCAAACACATACGAGGTCTGTCTTTAACACAAAATTAAGCACCCAAGAGACCAAATCTCGCATGGCTTATTCTTATTCGGAGGATAGCCCTACTTATACAAGTCACGTCATCCTATGGCTATCTATCGATTTGTTCGAGATATTCTCAAATATTTACAATATTAATATACAAGAAAGCAAGTATTAACTTTCTTGGCCTAACAACCAAACTGAGGCCTAATAATCAAAAAACCAAGAACACTACATTCCACATATACAGAAAACCCCATGGCTGGATCAAACCACTTTTATATTGAAAGGGCAGCACTAAAAATACAAGTCAGAAATCCCAATAAAAATACCACTAACCATGAAAAAATGCAAAACTTAATTAAAAACGTTAAAAAACACTGCTCACAACAACGGCTTGAACGCAACGTAATCAACAAAAGACACACACAAAATCATAATAATAATAATAATTCACTAGTTTTTGTGGTCCGCTTGACCAATTAATATCTTTCAATTAATTAAACTAGTAAACTAAGTAAACTAGTGAATTGAATAAGTTAAAATGAAGTACATCTTCACTAAAGCTCTCCGTGGCCATTTGTCGCCGAGAATCGAATAGATTACACGACATTCGAAAAATGGCAAAAAGGAGGGAAAATTCAAAAGGTGGCGTTGAGATGGGAAGTTAGCGTCCGAGTGGATCGAAGTCACGAACGCTCAAGTGGTAGAGCAGCGGCGTATCTAGCCGAATATCGTGGGTTCGAATCCCGCTCGTGACATTGACTTTTTACCTCAACTAAAAACCTTAATTAATTGAAAGATATTAATTGGTCAAGCGGACCACGAAAACTAGCGGATTTTAGAAAAACGTTCTCTTTATCGTGCCAACGTTTCGACCTTTATTGAGATCTTCTTCAGGACCTGGGATTTATAAACGTTCTTTAAATTTTTCAAATGTAGGATGTGAAAAAAATTATACAATAACAGACTAAGGTTTTTACTTAATTAAATGAAAAATAATAATAATCAATAAACCAACAGTACAC